GAATGTACACATGTGCTTTACACAATTGATTTATGGATTGTATGTATGTATGGATTAAAAAAATCAATGACTTTTGTTGGGAAAGTGCAGGTAAAGATATCAATACCCACCATGGTATTTTCAATGGTCTCATATGCAAATAAGGGTAGACAATGAATAAGGAAGCCTGGAGAAAAATGGATGCATTTGAAATTAAGAGGGGTAACCCCCCAAAACAGAAAAAAGTTCCACTGGGCAGAGCTGTTGTAGTATGCATTTTCCCCCACTAGGTGAGCATCGAACAACTAGCTCTGAGCTCGTGAACCCAGTGGCTTCACCCGGGAAGGTTCTCTCTGGTCACAGTGAATTTTTTTGTAAAAGCAGTTTCACTTGGACCTCATTTTTTTGTGATGGCTGATTTAGGAGAATAGCATGCGGCTGAGAACTTTTCTTTCCTGCTTGGGAAAAATGCCACAAACACTGTTGTGATGTTGAACACAGCTTACAAGGACAGCGCTATGGGAAAAACTCAAGTGTATGAGTTGTTTTCTCATTTCAAAAAGGGTGAAATGTTGATTGATGACAAACCTCATTCTGGACATCTGTCAAGTTCCCAAATGGATGAAATGTCAACTCAGTGCATTTAGAGTTCTTTCCACCAGGCCAGACTGTTCATCAAGCTTTCTACTTAGAGGTTCTGAAAAGACAGTCACAATATGCAACAAAAATGGTAAAGGCCTGATCTGTGTCAGACGGGGGACTGGTTTTGCCACCACCACAATGCACCTACTCACACAGCCATCTCAGCGTACCAGTTTTTGGTAAAAAACAGCATGCCTCTCCTGTCCCACACACCTTACTCACCTGACCTCACTCTGTGCAACTGCTTTTTGTTTCCACAAATGAAGAGGAACTTGAAAGGACACCCATTTGACAACATAGAAGAGGTGAAGAAAAAAGGATGGAGGTGCTGTCAGCACCTCCAAACAGATGAGTTTGAGAAGCGCTTCCAAGAATGGAATCGCAGATTTGACAAATGTATTAAGTGTAATGGAGATTACTTTGAAGGAGATAAGGTTGCTTTGTAAAAATTTTAAATGTGTAGCTTCAAAGAAAAAAAAATTGTTTTTTGAGGGGTAACCCTACGTATAGTGCTGGTGAATATTCAAAGTACTCTGTGGACTGCCAGAAAACCAAACATCTTTCTCAGAGGAAGTGCAGTGAGGATGCTCCTTAGACGAGATGATGGGGAGACTTCGTCTCAGGTACTACCCACGTTATGCAGAGCGAACAGTCGCTGGAACAGCACGTCAGGCTCATAAAGCCGAGGCTCAGCAGAAAAGCCGGACATGGTCCAGGAGAGACGTGAACACTGGCTACAACATGGGCTCAAACGTAATGACTGTGAGGCTGGTGCAGGACTAGGCAGTTGGGTTCTGTTGCACACACTTACACTATGAGTTACAACCAACTAACGGCACCCAACCACAAGACAAGAACACACACCTTTGCAAAGTTTGTTCACAAATGGAAGTTTGGGTGGCATCAACAAGGAAACACTGGACTACTGGCTGAAAGGCTGGTAGAATGAACCGATCCCGGGGGCATCACAGACGACCAGCCTGTCAGTTCCCAAAGGTCACAGCCTAGAACCCTGTGCAGCAGTTCTCCTCTCCCTGCGCAGGGTCACCACAAGTTGAGATAAAAATTACTCCAAGACAACTAGTACGAGTGTATCCCAACCACCTGGAAAAGTGCTCACTGATGATCTACTGACGAAATGGATGGATGGGCTACCAGGAGTCTTAGTGGGATAGTGGATTGCAAGTTAGGCTGCTAACTGCAAGATCAGCAGTTCTAAACCACCCGCTTCTCTGAAGGAACAAGCTTTCTGCTTCGGTAGGCTGACAGCCTCTGAAACCCAAAGGGCAATTCTATCCCGTCCTGTCAGGTTGCTGAGTAAATTGACTGGATGGCAGTGAGTTTGGTTTAGTTTTTTCATGGCCAAAGAAAAAAAATCCCTATTTCCTTCTTGTCTCATTTACTCATTGCCTACAGCCAACACCTTTGTCACACAGGACATTGCGGTGCTGGTGAACAGTCAATGTACTGTGGATGGCCTTGGAGGAAGTACAGCTGAATCGTCTTCTTTGACCCACACAGTCAATCGCCTCGACCCTCTTTATTTTACTACCTGCTTACCTATGGAGCCCTGGTGGCATAGCGGTTACATGTGGGGGTGCTAACTGCAGGGTCAGCAGTTCGAAACCACCAGCCAATATTGAGGGAGAAAGATGGAGCTTGCCTTTCCCGTAAAGAGTTACAGTTTAGGAAACTCGGCATCGACTCAATGGCAGGGAGTTGGGTTTGGTTTACTAGCCACTAGCTAGCAAGCCCCTACTCACAGGGGAGTTTTCAGTAAATGCTTCCCACAGATGGAATTTTCTCTATCTCCGTATTCACAACAGCCTTTGGAACTCTGAACAATACCGGACATCCCCTGTCCCTTGAACTGTATTTTTGCATGAGACGATCTTCCCCCCTTAAGATCAACTTTCTGGGTAAGCAGTCAGAGTGATCCAGTCACGACTCTTTTGCATTCCTGAGAGTCATGCTTAGAAAAGGGAAACCACTGCCCAAAGGGAACCGTCTGACTACAAATCTCCCTTGTAGGGCAGTGTTCTCCTGTGGACCCTGCCTGCTCATTACTTAGCATCTGAGCTAGGTAACCCACGGAGCTGTCAGGGAACCACAGAATAAATGAGCCGGAGTGCTTGGGGAACACAACTTTAAAAGTGATGTTGAGTGCCGTCATCTTTAACATTCACATCTCCTTTCAGTTTTCTGGAAGATCATGAGATCCACGTTTGAACAGACTTCACGCTCAGCATCATGCAGAAGGCATCCCGCCCCTGAAAAGAACCATCATCTCAGGTAGGTGCTAATCAAACTGATCCCACAAGCCCTGGTGGCACACTTGTTATGCAAAAGGCTGGCAGGTGGAACTCATAAGCTGAAGCAAGGAGAAGGATGCGACTACCTGCTTCAGTAAAGACTGTAGCCTTGGAAACCCTAAGGGGCTGTTCTGCTCTGTCCAATAGGTTCGCTGTGGCTGAGAACCTACTCAAAGACAGTGGGTTTTCATTGAAACAATTTGAATATAAAGGTGATAATGATTTGCTCGGCTTCTCCTCAAACCAAATAACCAACTAGCTCTAGTCAGTCTTGTCTTTCTCCGTTAAGGCTCACCTCTGTAAACAAAACAAGATGTGAAAACAACATGAGTTGTGCGTTTTATGGCTGTAAACGGCTTTTCAAGGACACTGTTCCTAAACCGGCTGCCATCAAGTCCATCCCCACTCACAGCAACCCTGGATAGGGTTTCCAAGGCTGTGAGTGATTATGAGAGTAGATAGTGTTCACCTCTCCCGAGGAGCTATAGGTGGGTTTGAACTACCGACCTGGTGGTTAACAGTCCAATGGTTACCAAACAGCACCACCAGGCCTCCAAGAACACTACTCACTGATTCATAAGGACAGAGTCAAACTGCTACAGTGGGTTTTCTGAAATTGTAAATCATTACGGGAGTGGAAAGCCTCAACTTTCTCTCAAGGAGCTGCTTGCTGGTGGTTCAAACTGCTGACCCTGTGGTTTGCAGACCAATGCACAATCCCCTACGCCACCAAGGTTCTCAAGGTATTTTTTTAGATTTGAGTTTGAAGGTCTCACACACGAAGCGAACAGAATCTGTACTTTTTCCTTCATCCTAAAGAATGGGTGGACTAAAATATCATCTGTCCCATACCGTTTCACTGATAAACTTCATGTAATTCGAAAGATAACCTAAGGAGTGATGCTTCTAGAAAGTTCCCCAGTTCGACTCCCACCCCCTCAAAGAATGAATGGGTTCACAAATCACCCTCACAAGGGTGAGGGCTGGAAGTCGGGGCAAGTGCAATATCACACCTGAGTAAGAGCAGAAAAGGACCCGGAAGATTACAAACAAGTCCTCCCTGGCTTTTTGTCTCCTTGCCCAAGAAAGCCCATCTGCAGCCTCTTCCTAGGACTGGCTACATCAGGCCTCTTCGGGACCTTACGGCACTCTGGCCGCTGGCGCTCTTCTCCCCCTTACCCACTGCACTGCCACCCCAGTCACTGCCCTGCTGTTTGCGACCTGTCGCCCACTCTCTCCACTGCCTAACGACAAAGTCCAAAACACTCAGGGCTCTCAACACTGGCCCAATCCAACCTTACCTCCTCTCCCAGACCACGCCGCTCTGGTCCCCTCCCCGTTCCCGTGCTCGCGCGCCCTTCCCTGTGGTGCAAGCCCTTTATGTCTACTCCAGACCTGGACATCTTCCGCTTCCACCGGACTCCCAGTGGGCCACCCAGCGAGGTAAGGAAGTCTCCAGGTGGTGAACGATGACTTCCCCAAACAACTTTCAGGCGGCTAGGGGGATTAGGAACGGGCTGCTCACCTGGAGCGCGGCCTTTGGTGGCCTTGGGGCCATTCCACCTCGTCGGGGCTCGCTCCCACACAGGGGCTGGGGAGAGAGGAGAGGACGCAATTACCCTTCTGCAGCCCCAGCCCTCAGCTCTCCCTGCCCGACCCCGCTGCATCAGCCTCAGCTCTCAGAGCTCCTCTTCGTGGGGAGAGGTGGAATGTGCGCCGATCCGCTCCCTTAATTTTAATTCTCCAGCCGCGTCCCGGATCCCCTAACCTCCAGCCACGCCCGAGTCCCCAGGCAGAACGGAGAAGCGCATCAATCTTCTCACACACCGGCCGACCCGTGGGAGGTGCCACCGGACCCGCGCACTCGGAATCACCGCCTCCTGGTAGCTTCGGGTTTCTCACCCTCCGGCCCACCCTAGGGCCTCGGGTCGGCTTCTCCCGCCCCAGCTCCAGCCTACGTCCTCCCTTTCAGAGAAACACAAGAGCGCCCCAAAGATGCCCCTGCTGCACCAGGACAATGGCCGCAGCGGCGGCGCAGAGCCGGAAACGCGCCTGCGCACTCGGAGCCTCACGCCTGTAACCCTCGGGGTCGCGGCAGCTCAAACTACATTTCCCAGGTGGCCCGGCGCGCTAGTCCCCTAGAGGCGGCCTCGGGGAACTGCAGCTCATCTCTTTCCCCTTCTTTTTGTCAAGTGAGTGATAGGACGCAGCGGCTGTCAGAGAATCTCAAAGCTCATTTAAGGAGAACATTTATTAAGCCCTAAACAGGACTAGGACAAAGACGGATCCCAAGGATTCGGGAGCCCATTAGCACAAGATCATAATGACATGCAAGCATTTACAGAGTTTATATAGGACATGGGAGGACAAAAGAAACTGTCAGAAGCATGACTGGTGACAGATAAAGATATCACAGCTGCAGAAGAGACGACAGAAATGGAAA